GCCTTGGTCAGGCTGTCCTGCTGACGTTTCCAGCATCAGGCGTTCGAATATCATTTTCTACCGACGTAGGTAGATTAAGACGTTTATCAGGGTAATGCTGTCTGTGCGTTGATTCTCCGGAAGTTTATAAGCAGTTCCTTATTGGTGAGATAACAGCATCCAGTCTCTAGGTGCAAGATATTTCGTCTCCAGTTTCCTCAGGCGTTTGCGGTAAAACAACTCACCACTGGCGGGCGAAATGCGCTTTCACAAATAGGCAGATGAAAATGGCAATTTCACAGTTATGCCTTTGCCAGCTAACTGTGGACGTCTCCTATTATGAGGCTTATTACCACTCGACATGTAATTTTATTTCTGCACCTCACGGTTAGGCACAAGTCCTAACGTCCTCGGTCATCTGTGCACATTTTTCGCCGCGCGCAGTATGTCCGGTGTTTAAATCCGAGTCATAAATAATGCAATTATTTTCGTTGTTGAACACTCGATCATATAGTATCGTAATTCTTCTTCTTCTTCTTTTAACCGGCAAGTAATTCTTTCAAAAATAAAGGAAACCAGCAAGAACCTCGCATATAGTTCGAAATTCGGGGTCGGTTTTTCTCTGTTTCGTCACATTCTGGGGGACTGGGAGAACAGATGAACCAAGAAAGAAACATCGAGCATGTACGGGAATTTCCTCCACGTTAAAAATAAATATGAGTTTTGCCACTTAGGCGAGTGAGCGTCTTCAAAAAATTATAAGGACTCAGAAGTGCAAAGCAAAAGTATTATTGACGAACGCTGTAAGTAGGGGAAGTCGGATCATAAGAAAAGAAGATATGGCTTTCATTAACACAATGCATTCTTCTCTCTTTTTAAGGATTGACAGTCAACATACCTTCGATTCCCTCTCGCTTACGCTCGCTCATAAGCCAGCGTCTACGAGGAAACAGTTGATTAAATTGCATCTCTCGCCAGGAGTAATAGATGTTCTATTGAAATTTGCGAGAAAAATAAGCGTTAATTTAGTGCAAACTATTTGTGAAAGGTACGCGGTCTTCGGATCTAGGTTGACTGTTTGAATATGAGTTTACGGGGCAATTTGTCTTCTCAAGGTCTTTGTCGCTATCCTGCGGACGCTACTACCCTTCGCGCCAAGATTAAAGGTCAGGCTGGCCATCGTCACAACGGACATGTCTGTGTGCAATATCTTGCGGGCTGAAACTAGCAAATCGAGATCGTTTACAGCTCACAGGTTCGGACAGGTGTCAGAAGACAAGAGATTCAAATGTTTGCGTGCGTTTCAGACCTTTACACCGAAACTAGGTTGCCCTGTAAGCCCGAAAAGTGAACTGGATTATTCCGACTTTAAGGATCCTAAAGATTGATAGCGTTCCTTGCTATAGACTCTTGTACCCATTTTGAAACACCCTAACAGTCCAAAACGCCCGGCCACCTTAATTCGCTCAAATGAGTTCAGATTGTGTTTGTGCAGAGATTTTCCACCCCGATAAGCAAACTGGGATGAATGCTATGGTCCCAGTAGCCATATCGGTTTCACTTAAGTGGCCGAATACGCGCATTCCAATTAGCGGCTTAATGGCTTAGGTACCCTGGATAGTTGATGACCAATCTATGACTGCGGATACTACGAAGCTCCTAACGGGAGTTCAGGATGGAATGAGTCAAACTGGTAATGACCCACCTAGTAACCACGGTATCCATTAGGATTTTGAATGTTCTCAGGCAACTTCTTCTAGCCAATGTGCAGCGTTTGCGATACTGTCACTGCACTGAGGGCTCAGATTTCTCTAGTTATCTAAATCCACTTAAGACAAGACGCAGTTCGGAGCGGTGGAGGCTTACAAAGAACGTCATTAAATTCTGCATGCTTTGTCGCCTTCGCCCTGTTACAAAGGAAAATAGATCTTTCTCTTCGTGCTTTAAGTCGCATTTGCGGTTCCACCTCACTTGTAACAACGCGTGACCATTTCGTATTGCTGACTGAATCATAGAGCTCAAGAAGTCTGCATATCGTAAATTATAATCACTTCATGAGATTAATTTCCAGCCAAGGGTGCAGGCGTCACGCCACCGTGAGACGGCGTGGAACTCATCTTATCGCGAATACCACCCCCTGCACTCATATCTCCCCCTCTTTCGTGGCTTGACTACAAAAACCGCTCATTTGATGTCGCATTCTCACGGTCTCTGACGATGGCCTCCTGTACGAGACTGAAAGCTCAGACTAATAAACCTACTGTCCCAGAGATCGGGTCTTCATCTTCTTCACTTCATGAGATGTCCCAGACACCCTCCCGTTAATGACAGAGTTCCGACGAAAGGCTATTTCCACGGACTTCTGCAATCTGACAAGTCTAAAAAAGTGCCTTCTGACGGAAGCCGTACATCTCCGAGATTCTGCTTGAAATCTTTGTTAATCTAATAAAATTACCGTTGTATTTGATTCCACCGTACTGTATACGCATTTCTCAGAGGTCCAAACTGAAAGGCCTGTTCAAGTAAGGTAGATACACCGTGTTATATCGCATGGCCCGTGAAGGGTTCCTTAATAAATCGGTTAATGTAGCGACCGGCAAGATTGTTTTAATGACGGCTTTTATATTTTTAATGCAGAAAATTTGCTTGCTCGGTTTGATAGCCTATCCTTCTCACTGGTTTGGATATTCAGCTTTAAAGGGGCAGTTGTTGTCTACTAATCTCAGCTTCCAGACCGCAGATAAAATGACGTTCATTTGTAGAAAACTTATAGATTTGGGACGCTATGCAAAAATAATCAACTTGTGGCCCTGTCTTCCGGAAATTTGACCTCATCGGTTAGAAAAGGATTATTTGCGCTCCGAGTTAAAGCAAACCCGATTTGGCTTGTCCAGGCTGCGTTAAATAAATGGTGATTAGTACAACAAAAAAATTTCACATCTTACGTATTTCAGTAAATATTTAACGTCTCATGCTCATTGCTCGATTACAAGAAATATTTGCTGTTTCCTTTCCCCATTTCTAAATGGCCCCAGCAGTAAGATAGTGCAACTTCCATACCTCAGTCAGCAAAAAGATGCAATCGGATTTGACCGCTTACAAGAAAATACAGCCAGATGTGGATATGTAGCCCCACCTGGGGTAAATAGACCCCAGCTACCTGTAATACGGGACCGGTGGTAATAAGGGATTTGGCAGGTGAGGCCGGGGAACGCACAAGCGACGAGGTCAAGTAGTTGTATGAAAAAGAAATGCTATTGGGAATGCTTGAGTGGTGGAGAGATAGTTGCCCTAACCCCTTAACCTAACCTTGACCCATTGCACTAGCCCCTAACCCTAACCTCCTAAACCCAACCCCTAACCCTTACCCCTAACCTTAACCCCTAATCATAACCCATAACCGTAACCCCTAAACTCAATCATCAGGTGGGACTACATACTTACCAATGTGGTTACTGTCAATATTGATTGTCGTATGGTTGCACCTCAACGGCAGCTTACGGTTACCGAAACCCTTGTAGGCCTTGTATGGGGATGGAATCGCGTGTGAATCTGAAACATTTGACGAATGAAATTCTTGGTCCAACAATCACGCCCCCCTCCTGAACAATATAGTGGCTAACGAAGTGGCAAGTAACGTCCAGGGTATTTGACGGTTCTGGAGCCAAATCCGCAACCGGACTGTGCCTCGTGTCAGCCATTGCGCTTAGCTTAACCATCATTCGGTTAAGCTTGGATAGACCCATTGTGCAAGCAAGAGGGTAGTGACAACGAGTCCATCTGACTGAGTTTCGGCACTGGGTTTCCCAATCTAAAAACGCTCGAAAGCGTCTTCAAGTTATTACAACGAGTAACTAGCCCTAGCTTGGGAGGTTGCCAGTTGACATAATAACTGAATTTCACTCAGGACTGCAAAGCAGGCCGCAATGGCTACTTTCTAATGTGGTCTTTATTACACTGGCTATCACGACATGCTAGACACTTAATTGAAAATGTGGAATTAGGGAGTATGTCATTAATGAAGTGTGTAGACGGGCCGTTTATAATTGTTAGCTACTACACCAAAACTCGGTTGTCTTGACATTACCCCGTCATTGAAATGTGGCAAATGTGGGAATAGAGGTTGAGGTAGGTTCAACGCGAAGGTGCTTCAGTATAAGCAAATTTAGACGTAATTCATCGCTGTTCCATCCTCGTGTGACGGTGACTGACACCATCCCGATGATGGCCGAAATGTCATTTGCCAAGCTAGTACTATTTATTTTGTAGACGCTGTAGCTTTAAATCCTCTCTGTTGGTTCCAGATATTGAGAACTTAGATATGAAGCATGTCAAATGCTGACGTTCCAGTCAGATTTAGTGTGAATTTGCCTGTATTACGGTGTGCTTACTGCTTGGCTTGCTTGTCCAAACACTCATCGTTTTAATTTTTCTCCGTTTAAGCATGTTACTTTTTTAGAGGTCATGTGGTTTCGAGTGTATTAAGTCTTGCGAAAACCTCCATAGAAGCCACGTGTCCAGATTGTTTGGGGATATCTTACCATCCGCAACCAAAGGGACTCCCATAATTTCGTTACTAATTTCGATTTTCTGTTCACTTAAATAGAAATGAAAAGGAACTCTCTATGGACTTCCGACAGCATCAGACAGGCACTGTTACGCTGTCTTAGTGTTTTTGTACAAAGAAAAACCGCTTAAAGCGCGCTTCCTCAATTAACGAGTGAATTACCCCTTGCCACTACGAGTAAATAGCCAGTTGGAGGCCGCCTTCGTTTCGCCTTGTCCTCCTATTGGTGAGATGACTAAGGGGGGACAGCGAAATTGGTTGAGGCTTACAGCACCTGACGAATCAGCATCTGTTGACAGACCATGCGCGCAGTCCAGCTACCCCTCCCTCCTTCTCAGGGCTAAACATCGTGATTGGACCGTGGTAGCCGTGAGGCGAGGGATGTGATTGTCCAGCGTGCACTACGCGTTCAGCACGTGCCGGTATTTATCAAGGTGTCGCAATGAGGCGGAACATGTCGTGTGATATGCTCCACGAAAGTGACTCAGGCTCTCCACCCGTCAGTGAAATGTCCTCGAAAGACCAGATCACCGGTATGCCTCCGCTTGATCTGCGGAGTTCTGAATCCTCAGACCTGTCCACTAGGGGCAAACTTCCGGCTTTAACTGCCCCACCAACCCCACTGGTCCCGCCTCTGTTCGACTCCAGAGTGACTGATTTCCCCACAGCGTTCTTTCGCCAACTACCTTGGTTGCAGCATGCCAGGCTGATGGAAGAGTCCTTCAAGCCGATTAATACCCATGTTCTTCAGACGCCGAATGCGGTCTGTGATAACACTGAGGCCATTCTGCCGCGGAAGGCATTCCCTTCTCGCCGTTCACCCAGTCCTAGTCTCTCTGAGAGCTATCACGTTAAAAGGCCAATGAATGCCTTCATGGTCTGGTCTCGAGGTCAACGTAGGAAAATGGCCCAAGCGAATCCCAAAATGCACAATTCGGAGATCAGTAAACGGTTGGGTGCCGAATGGAAGCACCTCTCGGAAACCGAGAAACGTCCCTTCATTGATGAGGCGAAACGACTGCGCGCCACTCACATGAAGGAGCATCCGGACTACAAGTATAGGCCGCGAAGGAAGAGTAAGAGCTCATTCAATCGGGAACGTTTGACCTTTTCTCAGACGATTATGCCGGGTACGTCGCGTACCATCTGATGTTATATTATGCAAACGTAGTTGTTTCCCTCCTAGAGTAGAACGCAACACATGGCAACGTTTGGACGGTAAACGACATGTAATTTTACAGAATATCGAGGTTAAAATTACCTTTTGGATTTATATATCTAATATCCCCGAGTAACTGTAGCCCACTATCAGAAATTTAAATTATGATGCGCGATGTCTGGAGCATAGGTTATTCGCACATGCGCAAACAATAACAGGTTCTGATGTGAACCACGCTATGAAACAACGCTTCTAGTTCTAGCCTCTGTCAGCATAATGTAGTTCTGTTTAAATTATTGGCATCCGGAAACCTGGAGCAGCCAAAAGCAAAGGTTTGATTTAGCTTGACATCAAAAGCGGTTTCGTTTATGGAATAGATCCCTTCAAGAAATGATCTACACTTCGAAATGTGTATTCTGTTGCCTGACTCTGCATAGGTCGTTTTACTGGCGTGAGGTGTGTGGTCCGAAGAGAATTACACAGTAGCTCACTAAACACAATCTTGTAGTGTTAACTGGAAAGCGATTTCGGGATAAACAATACGAGTTTCTTCATCGGAAGAATCAGGCAGAATCAGATTGCAATTCCCGTTGACAGGCGCTTCCGCCACTGTGTGCTTAGGCAACGTAGTTTGACTACGAATGAACATAGAATCCTTCGAAGCATTCGCCAAACGTTGGGTCCGTATTCCAAAAGTTGGACTAACATTACTGTCAAACGACCTCAGATGTCTATATCCTTCTCTTTAACGCGATGCTATGAGACTACAGACGTGCTTCAGTATTTTTACTCTATTTTATTCCGATAGCTTATGGAGCAAGGAAAGCCGCTAAGTTTTTGATTATAAACTATGCCCTTTCAAGCGTCAGGCGCGGAGCAAGGTGCCTCCATGGAAGAAAGCGAAACCCTCTGAGTTAGATTCCGAGCCACGCTAGAAATACACTGACGGTGAGTCAGTATATTTCATCCTGCTGGACAAATGCTTTTGCTTTTCGGGCGTTTCGAAGTACTGAGTCAACTGTCTTTCTCCGGAGACAACCAGCTAGTTAGCTAAAGAAGGTTTCCCCACATTTTCTCGCAAGCTACTTCGTTCGCATTTCGTCGACTCGTCATTTAACATCATAAACTAGGAAGAACCACCAATTAATGTGCTTCCTTTAATTGTTGCTATTCTGTAGAATTTTCATTGACTATGGGGCAACTATTGTGCCAAATTACAGAGTGATCTCGAGAGCTTCGCCGGACATAAATGATAATCCTCTTTGATGGATTCGATCATTTTTGGGTTTCAGCTAACCAGAACCCAGAGTCGAAATTGAATGCTCATTTTTGTAGACTGGTGGTCACCATCCCATGTGATATACACAGCTCTGTTGGCTACAGTATCTGCCGACTCTAACCCCTGCGCCTATACTCAACAGGAATAACGCCTCCTAAGAGCGATACATGAAATAGGGCGAGTATGACGGGCAATTCCTCTCATTTGTCTTCCTTCGATGTGAAAGTCTCAGACATGTAAAATTTATGCAACCCTGACAACAACTTGAATGACTTGGCATCCCCATTTTGCAAAAAAAGTAAAATTTGCGGGAAGAATTCCCCATCGCATACACCTGTGATTTATGCTGACCCCTTATATTAAAATTTGATCCTAAATCAAGTTCCTACACGCGAAATCTTAATCGCTAAGTCTAGGGAATAGCATGCGAAGCGGGGACTAATAACCAACGGAGTGCACTAGTACAACACTGGGACTTTAGCCAAGCGAGTGTCTGGTTTCTGATTGCAAACCCAGATTCTTCGTCGTTATAGCTTTATTAGTTATTTGTCCCACTGTTCATTTAATGAAGTTCCAATGGCATGTACATATACCAGGAGCACAAAATAGTCGACCGAATGTTAGGGGCCTGCTTTATAATTTGGTAATCTGTCCGCGCATTTCCAGACTGCTGAAAGAGTGGCCATAACTAGGCGTAGTAAAACGCCCGATAGAAAACAAAAATAAAGTTGACTTGGAATTTTTAGTGCTTACCTAATATGTTTGGCAGCATTTCGAAAGTCCACATTTCATGTGTTCCTGCTTACAGAGCGTTTATTACACTTGACGGTCCTCAGCGTCGGCTGTTCCACGAGCTCTAATGTGCCCAGCAGGTTCTAGGCAAGACAGCAGTAATAATTTAGCAAATAACGTAGTCCTTCGAATGTCCGAGGGATTATTACTTCCATGTCCAGTCAACACCACTGCCTTCATAGATTTGAAAATCGGAAATTTTAGTTTCAGCTGGATATCACACAAGGACAGAACCCATAATGTGTGGACGGGCTGTAGAAATTCGAGGAATTTCCAGTTAGAAGCAGACTCTTTGCTGTATGACCTCGAACTTCCGTCCTCAGCATCACATACAGTCTGTTATCTGAACATATAATTAACGAAGGTTTTTACTCATCGACACGGCGAACAACGGCCATTCTGACACGCTTTCATGTAAAATCAATTCCGTAGTCGGCAGTGGAATTTGCATCATCAAACACCGGAACGGAACTATGTCGATCTTTATACAACTTGAGAACTGGGTGGCCATTTGGGGTATGCACTGGGGGGCACTGATATTAACAGCATCTTAGTCTGCCGCCGTTTACCCAAGCAAGAGATTTTGACCCAAGCTGACGACTGGTGATAATTACAAGTCATCTAACTGAACAAATGTTATACTTACCAATTATTTGCACCTGCATATCAGTTTTGAGCAGTCCCACTGGGAATTTTTTCCACGGAAGCAAAAGTGGTTGACTGTGTAGGAACTATAACCGACGGAGGCTTCGTCAGCATGAATAAGTAAATCGGTTGTGTTTAAAAAAACGACTGAAGGGTGCCTCTAGGATAAGGCGTAATTTGTATTGCAACACGCATTTATTGCGAATATGGTATTTTGTAAAAATAGGAAAAGCCAAATAAGTGAATCCACTGCTCTCGTAACTTACAGAGAATTTGGGTAAGTAACTAAAGGAGGATGGGATAACTGGAAAACAAAGTTCACAGCCAAGACAAGCACTAACGCGTGCCTCAATAGTGGCAAATGCATTTCTCAACAGTTCTGACCAGAAATTTCTGGCCCAGTGAGGCAAGAGTTCTTAAGATGCTGAAGATCTCCTGAAGCATATGAAGCCTTCAGAATTTGTTGGTTAAGGGTTATGCTATGAAACCGTTGTTCCGAAGTTTCCATGTCTGGCATGACGACTCCAAGTTGACGATTCATTTGTCGGGTCTCTACGTCATCGCTGTTATCAAACCAACTCCGACTGGCTGAATATAAAATGCAGAGAGCGCACATGTCTCCTCGACCTTCCAATAGTCACTATGGTACTTTTCACAGTATTAACTAGGACACTCAGATACACAACAGTCTTCAAGAAGGTTCGATATGGCATATATGCATGTAATGGTTAGCTCAGATCAAGCATTCAGAAGCAGCTTCAACCGAGAACTTGTCAGTTAATGACCATTTACACGAAATAGGTTGCAAGAGAATGCATTTCTCCCAGCAGTTCATCGCAACAAGTTAGGGTACCAGTTACAAACCACTGGGTTAAGATAGTTCTCTTCTGGATGGCGAGATGAAAAACATACTCTGTAGCGCTTGCTTCATGTCTTCTCATGAGTGATCCTCAAATACACGGTGTCGTCAGGCACCATTTTTCTAAATTTCTAGTTGAGAACCGAAAACGAGAACCGCTGATTTGGAACAAGGACAATTTCTGAGAGCAATAGTCGATTTGGCAGATTTTGAATGATTCATTTTGTCCCAACTGTGAAAAAGTCAGCGTCTCGGTTGAGTCAAAATGAATTATTCGAAATCTGTCAGAACAGCTATCAATTTTGTGGGCCTGGTGGTCATCTGGCGGATTGTAGATGCATTACTTAGGAAATCCTGCTTGGGCAGTCACCTTACTGTATCAGATTTTGTAGATTCTAGACGTTGCAGTAGGTTGGGCAGCTAACTAGAACCAAATGTGATTGAACTCATGTCTTCCGGTGGGGCCTCGTAGCTCAGGTGGCTAGAGCCTTGGCTGTACTAAAGCCTTCCTTTGCTTTCGTGGGTGCGAAGCCCACCGAGGCGCCGAGTTTTTCACAGTTAGTTCAAGATGAATCTCCGAGATGGTCATCTGAAAACGAGTAAAAATATAAGACGTACTCAACAAAATAACCCGAGACAAATAGGATTCACCAGTGTTTACTAACAGATAGTCTGCTCTTTTAACAGAAAAGAGTAAACAGTTAGATTAATTGTGCTAGAAAAAACCGTTTAATGACCAATGCGATTTCGAAGGAGAATGCCTTAAGAGTTCAAACCACTCGCTATTTAATGTAAAAAATCAGATCGCAGTCGAACGGTAGATGAGAAAATGCACTGTTCAGCGACTTTTATAACATTTCTGTCGACTGGTGACTGTCGTAAAGGGAAGATCCCTCTCTACCGGGTACCATAGCCACTGTCCGTCCAAGCAGAGGTCACTCATCATCCTATGCTAATGAACTTATAGACAACTAAGCATGAATATCCCCATTGCAGGTTTTCCAGCATTTGGAAACTACAGTGGAGTTGGAGTCAGACCGTTTAACCCGATGCTGCCCTTCATTGCTCCAACAACTTCGGCCGACCTGGCGGAGCACCTGGCAACTACGGTTGCCTTCAACGCAGCCCTCCTGCTACGAACATCGGGGGAGGTACTACCCCCCGCTGCCTGCATGAATACGCCCCTAGACTTAAAGTGTCCCTCTAGACAGGATCAGAAGGCGTACGTGCCTGCTGAATCATTGTTTTTTCCTGCTACCTCCACTGGTGGGGCTTCCTCTTCCATTACCTGCTTCTCAAAGAGTTTGCGAGATGCCCTTCAAGCTAAAACCCTTGCACTTTCTGAAGCCTACTCTCACCTGGGAACACAGTTGTCAGCAAAGTCGACTTTGGAGCAGCGAAGGGAGGTGTTAGCCTTATCCTCTTCAATGGAGTCTTCTTCCTCAGTCCCCTGCTTGCAGGTCTATGACGCTGCGTCCACATCCACGTGCCCCACAAGCTTGTCCCTCTTAGACGCTGTTCCTGCTGCGGCTTTGGAAGAAGGAGCAAATGAGCCGATATCCTTCAGAATGCAGGAATGTCAGCAGGTCTCAAATCGACCCCCAGGAATTCCGCTAAAGCATGATGATACTGGACCTTTCAGTCCATTCAAACCATCCCTCAGCTTAGTATCGAGACCCGACTTAACGACCAACTGTTCAGCGTCTGCGGGCGATTCATGCTCGGAAGCTCTCACGAGTACACATGCTGCAGAACTAAGAGACGTCGGTCAAATAGATGAGCAATCGGACACCAACACCCTTTGGCTGAAGTACATGACAGCTGCCGCGACGGCAGCAACGGCAGTTATTTCAGGTCTGAGCGGACAGCAGCCACCAGGGCTCATCTGGCCAACGCAAGGCGTTTCCGGTCCTGCAGATGTGTTACCGAGTGGTGAGGTGTCTGGACCCGCAGGAAGTGCGTCAGTAATTTCATTCGCACCCAATCTCTCCTCCACAAGCAGCAAAATCTTCTCAATTAGCAGCATTTCTTCATCAACCTGACCTGATAAATGACGAATTACCCATAAACGACCTTGAGTTCCATGCCATCATATCCGATGCGTTTACTTGTCGAACCTCAACTTTCACCATCGGTCTCTGGTTGTATGTGTAATATCCTAGTGTTCTGTTGCTATTTCCCTGAAAGGCGCAACAGGCATACAGAGGGGTGTCCCGTTCTGTAGTTCGGTTGCCCTTCTCGTTAAATCCACTTCGTTTCGATTTATTATGAAGAAGTGCAAATAAGATGTATTGAAATATTTGCATTATAGTAATGGTTAGCATCCGGGACGGTGGATATGACCTATAGGGAACTCAATTGCCAGCTAAATGGAGAAACACCTCAAAAGGACTTATATCTTCTCCGATTCGTGAACTTTTAGCTGGGAAGATCATAACCCGTTTTGCTGTTCCTAGACTGGCCTCCAATAAGACTCCTTTCCATTGATGCTGCATACCTCGAACAGTCCGACGCTAACGAAAAGTTGATAGCTTCCTTTTTCAATTACCAGACTTGCTCTTCCATTTCAAAAACTTGCAGAAAGACAATCAGCAGCATGCGAAACCCGAGAAATTAGACAACACTTAATGATACCCGGATTGGGGTGTCGTTAATTAAAGTAATATTTTGGATTATCGTTTACAAAACCCATTCAGTTGAGCAAAACAGGGTGTTGTTCAGGGCAAAATTACTCAATCTCCGACTGCGCAAAGAAAATAGAGACTGAAGTAATCACCCGTGGCTTATCCGTTGCCGCCAATTAGCCATATCCCAGATGTAAAAGATGGCATTAAAGGTTTTTACAGGTGGGGTTGGGAACGCACCAGCGACGATGTCAAGCAGTTGTATGCAAAAGAAATGCTATTGGGAATGTTTGAGTGGTAGAGAGATTGTTGCCCTAAGTACTAACCCCAACCTTGACCCCCTAATTCTGACCCTTAACCTTAACCTCCTAAACCTAATACCTAACTCTAACCCATAACCATAACCCCTAAACCGAACCCATAACAACAACCACTAACTTCAACTCCAACAATGTTCTGTCCGTCAGGTGGGACTACATAAACACATCTTACTAGTGTGGCTACTGTTAATATTGACTGTCATATGGTTGCACCTCAGCTGCACACTATGGATACTGAAACCCTCGTACGCCTTCTTTGTGGATTAAATCGCGTGTGAATCCGAAACAGTTAACGAATGAAATTATTGTTCCAACAATCACGTCTCCCTCCTAAAAAATCTAGCGGCTGACGAAGGGTCAAATAATGTCCAGGATATTTGACGATTCTGGAGCTAAATCCGCAACCGGACTGTGCCTCGCGTCAGCCATTACGCTTAACTTAATCATCATTCGGTTAAGCTTGGATAGACCCACTGTGCAAGCAAGAGGGTAGTGACGAGTCCATCTGACTGAGTTCCGGCACTGGGTTTCCCAATCTAAACAATCGAAAGCCTCTTCAAGTTATTACAACGAGTAACTAGCCCTAGCTTGGAAGGTTTCCAGTTGACATAATAACTGAATTTCACTCCGGACTGCAAAGCAGGCCGCAATGGCTACTTTCTAATGTGGTCTTTATTCCACTGGATATCACGACATGCTAGACACTTAACTGTAAGTGTGGAATTAGGGAGTAGGTCATTATTGACATGTGTAGACGGGCCGTTTATATTTGCTAGCCACTACACCAAAACTCGGGTTCGTTTGTCTTGACGGTACCCTGTTATTGAAGTGTGGCAGATGTGGGAATAGAGGTTGAGGAAGGTTCAACGCGAAGGTGCTGCATTATGAGCAAATCTAGACGCAAGTCACCGTTGTTCCAATATCGTGTGCTAGTGAATGTCTTCGCATATTTCGCCCATCAAATTCATCAAGATGTTTAAGAAACACCGTTCTATTTTTAATATGAAAGAAGATTTCAGAACCGGGTACTTTTTTATCGGTCTCGAAAGCGAGATAACACAGACAAATTGCCATTTAAAACAGTTATGGTATCAGTATCCACATTTTCACTCTGAAGCAATTTTCACGGATAAGGTGAAACTACGTTTGTTCCGGACGCGTATATCATTGTTTCGCATTGAGCGGATAGCTTCCTAGCTGGCCTTTGTGTACAACCTCAATGAAGTCCTTAGGTTTAAGCGAATAGTCATGCCCTGTCAGAACCCAAAATTTCCAGAAGAGATTACGTTCTAATTTCCTTAATCAGATGAAGTTAGGTCTATCTGAGTCGATCCTTCGGGTGATATATGTTCTCCAATTTATCGTTTATCTCCCTCGCTTGTGGTTGCACCTGCTAAGTGTTTCCTATATTCTTTTTTACATGTAATGTCAGCTGGAATTGCACATTTTAATGGGCGTCTAACAAATATATCAAAATGTTTAGGAAGAATATAATGAAAGGATGTACAGTCTAATTCGCTATGTTATTTTCTTTTATGACTACCATTTTACCATGTAATGAAAACATATTCGAAGTCATCCGAAAGCCGAATGCTTTGTCAGTTGCCACATCCCCTAACGGAATCTCACCAGGGTAGCGCTGCTTTTTGTGAAACTATGTTCGACATGCTTTCGATTACAAGAATACGCATATAAATGTGATATAATGAAATGAAACCTAGGCCGTATCGGACGGAATTATCAACTGGTATCCTTATTGCTGTTGCTGTTGAAGTGGGTTAGCGACAGCGAGAAAAATGGTCACTGAGTGCATTTACGTATGGCGAGGAAGACTAGCGCACCAAGTCCTTGCTCTTTCCTACCACAGCCGTCGTGAGTAAATGGGCATCGCTGTGTTGTGATGACTGATGATGTGATAGAGTACGATGACCGATGTGATCTTGGGTTCCCGTCGACGCTTACTACGACAAGATTGGTCCCTTCTCAATAACTGAACCAGACTTCATTCATATTCACTACCGTCAGATAGATACGGCGTCTACTACCCTCGTGATTTTGCCACTGGCCAAACAGTTGACCGGGTGTTGCCGCTGCATTCAGCACAGCTCTGCGGGGCCTCCAATAAAATCTCGACGTCAAATGTGGTCAGTGTGTAATGACCGCCTTCTTCAGCTAGACACTCAGTACAACTGGTCCTTCATCGAGATTTATTCCCTTCAACTGCCGGCAAATTCAGTGCACATATTCAAACTGCTGCTTTCCTTTTTGCCTACCTTTTCTTGTGCTGGTTACGGGTGTTCTATTTCACTTACCTTAAGGTCAACAGGAATATTATTTTGACTTTTTGTAAATCAAAGTGTCCAGATCGCCACCAACATGTCTTTGCTAGTAGGCTTTTAAGGTAGATTTAAATAGACCTCAATATTGAAAATGGACTGCATTAATGTCACACGTCCCCCTGTTTTCCAATCAGACTGAAGTTTAAATCTGTAAGTGATATAAATATGGGTAAAAACAATGCGCGATAAATATTTAGGGGGAGAAATAGAAGACGATAAATGTAGGCAAACAGACGAGCTTATTTTAAACTCTAGTGGCGGCCGTTTGTAGCGAAAGAACAAGTCATGATCTAGGGTAACAAACATCCCAAAATAAGTAGGCGCTGCCGCATTAGGGGCTATTTGAAGGCTTTTTTGTGCGGTGCAGCAGGGGAATTTCAAGAGACTATGACGTAGGGTAATTTTCAGAGCAAGCGGAGTGGGGCAATAATTATAATACCCGCGCTGCGAGGGTAGCTAACAGGCAAGGCTGAGACCATACTGTTCATTAAGATGTGTCAGTAACATTAACTGGACGACCTAAAATATGAAGTTGAACATTAACCTGACGTCGTCAACAATAATTAATTGTTTGTTTCGGGGGGACAGAATGCGACCTAACTGCCGTATTAAGGAGCTCAGTTGTCCGGTTACCTGTATGAGTAAGACGGCAGGCGCTGATGTACGAACATGACTTGGTGGCAATATGTGAGGGCAAATACTGTATGAATAAAAAGAAAGTAGCAATCTGCCTTTGAAGGAGAGGACACACTAAAGTGAGGAACACGGCAAGACAATGAAAGTAGGACCACAGGGGCGGAAGATCTATTCACAACCCGAAAATTTAGCATAGTTTCCCTGCTCCAGGCTTAGAGGTTGTTTATCACTCCGAAGACATTGGGAGTGTTTATTACAGGACGAAGACACAATCAAGTGCGCTACTATTTCGCGACTATCATCAGGCAAAAGTAAAAAACCTACCATTGGTCCAACTAGCAATTTTAGTAGTTGGAATGTCTGATCAGGAAGATTATGGGAAGTTAAAGCGTTATGCAACTAGACAACTTTTTTGTGCAATGTGTTCCGACAGAAGCCTCCTGGAGGCGGGTAGTTAGTCCCAATTCGAAGCTCTATCTGCGAGGATAAAACACTACTAATTACTCGATAGTTCTTTACTACTCATTTGAAAAGCGTACGCGGTAGCTATTCCTACGCGATGGATTGCCCCGCGCACTTTCCTTGGAAACATTTTCTGAATGGGCATATTCTCCATTTCCTATGGTGTGCCCTAAAAAGGCTCTTCATAGTCACATCACTGGAGGGCCCTATCCCTAAAGTCTTAAATACACAACCTTCAGTATTCGCGTGTACGTGGTTTGTCGTGCGAGTAATGCGGAATAGCTAACTAGAATAAGTGAATTTGCCTAAGAAGTAGGGGGTAAGAGCATACTAAACAATCGGTGCAGATGTAAAAAATAAATTTTATAGTTCAGAGGTAGAGAACCCTGTGAGCACTCCGGAGACGAACAGTCTAGGCCTCTCTCAAGGTAAACATTTTTGATTATATGTTTCCTATTTTCTCAGTCTGTCTTAGTGCGCTTTCTATTCAGAAACGTGCTTAACCCCCTCAAAACGCAACTTTCCTACCAGAGGACCCAATGCTTCCGTGTTGTTTTCCTTCAACCGGGTAAAATGAAGGTGCAAAACGTCACTTCATAGGCCGAACTCATTATATGAATTGTGGGTTGTCTTGAACACCAGTACTTCTCCGTCTTCTTCT